TCAACAATAAAATCTTTAAACTACTAGGATAAAGTTGTCTGGTACAGGAATTTATCAATTTTAGGTTTCCCAATTTTCTCTTACAATTCAGAACTTAAAATGATATGTCTTACATCAATATTGTCCCCATACATTAAGTGCTCTGGTTGAGACATAATACTTGTATCTTCCTTCTTAAAATCTGAAGAAAACATATAATTTAATAAGTTTACCATCTTATAATATTCCGAGATCAGCTCCCCACTATCATTTATAAGATACAATCCACATCCTATCATTGTGCTAACCCATCATGTACCTAAAGGATTCCTTATTGTTTGATTTAACTCTCTCAACCAACCTTCTTTCATATACAGTTTTGCCCTTTTTAACTTCCTTTTTAACCAGCTCTCTTGATTTCCTATAGTTCTCCAAGTCGTCATTATTTCCAGTAAGTTTAAGTTTCTTGAATTTATTATGTTTATCCCGAATATGACCTTTTAAACCTTTACTAAACCATATTGTCTTATTCCACTCCATTGCCCTTTTTTTCTGTAGGGAATATGTATGTCCTGTATGCATATTAATTTTCCCAAAAGCTTCCTACATCTTTTCAAGGTCCCCTCCCAACTCTTTAGTCCAGTCTACAGAAGCCAGATCATTTCTCATTCCATCAAAATTGGCTTTCCTGAAATTTGGAATCAGAGTACTATTCTTCTTCTTCAATTCTACATGTAGTAAAATCCCACACCTAATAGTGAAATGGTCGCTTGTACTTAAATGTTCACCAGCCACAACTCTATCATATTCACATCAGATGCTAATATTAAATCTAATATAGGTTCCATCACCAATTGGTGTATAAAAGTATCCTGAACAATTTCCAAAATCCAATCCTCTTCACTGTCAGAATCAAAATTTTCCCAATCAATACCCATGAAATTAAAATCTCCTATAATAACAACATCTTTTTCAGCTACCATTCTGATCTCATTATACAGTTTCTTATTAACTTCTACATTCTTACCTGGTGGTCTATAAAAAATTCCAATTACAATACTTTTCCCTTTATATCCACTTACCCAAAGTGACTCAACCTCATTGCTATTTTCTTTAATATGTTCTAAGTCAACAGGATGCAATTCACTCCTCACATATAAAACTACTCCTCCCACCTTTTTTTCAGTACTTGATATCTAGTAAATAAGCTGAAGCCTGGTATTTCAAAAACATTTCTCTCATCAAAATTGTTCAGATCCAACCACGTCTCAGTGATATCCATAATATCAAAGTCTTAAGTTTCCACAACTGCTTTGAACTCATCAATTTTATTTCTAATACTCCTAGCATTATTATAGTAACAATTAATCATATATTTTAAAATAAGTTCATGTTTTATGCCTGTTTTACATGTTTTCCTGTCAGTTATATTTCCTATTTTAGTAATATCATAGCCCTCATCTCTGTCTAGCCCTAGTTTAAATCTACCACTACAGCTGTGTTAATAGCCTTTGCTAACATGATAGCCCCTACCTTGTTTAAGTGTAAGCCATCCATTCCAAAAAAATTAACTTTCCCATTAAAATTATCCCACAAATCCAACCAGCCTATTTTCTCACCCCTACATATTGATCTAAACCTGGCACTCAATCCTAGTGACTTACTTAGTATCTCATCCCCACAATTTATTCTAATATTACTGACAAAATCAAGCTATGATTTTGATTATGATAAGGTTATTATTAGGAGACTGTTTGAACTACATGTTTACTCAAGATATTATTAGGAGACTATTTGAACTACATGTTTACTCAGGATATTATTAGGAGACTGTTTAAACTACATGTTTAATCAGGATATTATTAGGAGACTGTTTGAACTACATGTTTACTCAGGATATTATTAGGAGACTGTTTGAAATACATGTTTACTCAGGATATTATTAGGAGACTGTTTGAACTACATGTTTACTCAGGTTATTAGGAGACTGTTTGAACTACATGTTTACTCAGGTTATTAGGAGACTGTTTGAAATACATGTTTACTCAGGTTATTATGAGACTGTTTGAACTACATGTTTACTCAGGTTATTAGGAGACTGTTTGAAATACATGTTTACTCAGGTTATTATGAGACTGTTTGAAATACATGTTTACTCAGGTTATTAGGAGACTGTTTAAACTACATGTTTACTCAGGTTATTATTAACACACTGTTTGAACTACATGTTTACTCAGGTTATTAGCACATTAAATGATTTTAGTAAATAGTTTATCGAACGGTGTTGTAGACGCAGGTTAGCAGTGTAACAGATACTGTAATCGTGGTGTTATCCTGTAATGAATGGCTGTTAGAAGAGGATTTAGTTATTCTAAATTATGTATCGTTTAACTAAGCCATATCTGTAGGACTCACCTTTCTTTACGGTTTTGGTTTTTATATACATTATGTATATTGGGATTACGGCCGAAAAAGTATCGTTAACAAAAAAGAATACCCAACTGATGAAACATGGCATTCCAGTTTTTATAAAGAGGAACGAAAGAATCCAAGTTAGCCATACTGATTGATAGGTGGATTTCTTGTTTTGCTAAGTATATAGCTTACTCTGATAGGGAGTTTTGTAAATTCGTACCGTTTTCATCAGTAAAGTTTTACTGATAGAATTTTAATTTGCTGTGAAATAAGAGAGTTTATTATTTTACCGATTTCTCAAAGTAAAACATAAATTTTGCACATCCTTCTGAATTCTTATAACGGACCTACCCATTATGTCTTAATACATCTTCTTTGAAATAAACAGTGAGCATAGTTTGAATAAATACTCCAAAACTAATTATTTTAGGTGGTGCAGTAAATTGTTTTCGTAGCATCTGTTTCTTATTTAGCGTCGTGTCTAATAAGCATGCATTTAGATTGATAATAAGTATACATTTATTTTCCCGGACCTTCTGTTCGAGCTATTAACATTTTAATATTGTATTTATATTGTTCAGTTAAATACTTGTTCATTAACAAATTTTATAAAATATCGTTCTTCTAATCTTTGCAGACACTAAAAGACAAACTTTAGAGACGGCGGGATTCAAGAAAGAGATTTTTAGTGTGAAATAAACAACTAAATAAGACATACAAAAAAAACTCTGTGTAAACTTTTCCGAAAATTGTTCTACAAAGAAAGAAAAAACGGCTCTTCTAAGAACATCTGTAGACGACAGTTCTTTGTATGTTAAGCGTTTTGAGAGAAAAACGTTAGCAACTTGATCAGCACGACTGTGTACTCGAACGCTTTTTAAAGGTTGAGGTTATGAGGATGAACCTTTGTTACGATGTTGTTAGGAGCGGCTGCCTTTGTACTCGACGCGTGCTAAACGCGTGTTTACACGAAACCTCAAGCACAAAACCACCTGGCTCAGTAAATAATTACTTTAAAAGACACGAGTGATGAACCTTTTTTACGTCTTTACTAAATGGAAAGAGATGAGATAAGAAGTTTTTTCTTTCATTGTATTCTTTTGGAGTTTCTGACAGTGTAACGCGATTATTTTGTTGTAGTATACGATTTATATGGCTGTATCTTTATGTGCTGTTATTGAGTATGTGACACGGAATATAATACAGACATGCATAAGTTCGAGCCACTTACTCTATTTACCTGGCCCCACTTATAGAACTGTTTTAAGTCGGTACTTACACGTGATTCCGACTCTGAGTCGGCGATTCAAACCCATAATTTCAACCAAGCACGTGACCTAAAAAAATCATCGTTTTTCGCACGTGGTGGATGGCGGTTTGATATGTTTGGAGGGACAGCTGGTTTTATTCCGTTAGATTAGCATGATTTAGTCACGTGCTTGTCAAAATAGGAGAAGAAAAAAACAAGTCAGTCATGATTAATAGAACTTATGACCAGCTTCTGTTAAACTCGAAAACAAGAGACGAAATTAGGGTGAAGCGGGACGAAGAATTAGCAGTGGATTCTGGGCTCTATTCTACTGCATCAACAAATGATTCTACGACCCTCGAGAAGCTGGGGGGATCTCCCATGCCAAACTGGTGGAGGGAACACATACAGGTTGCTCCCGACTGGGCCCAGGTGTCCGAGGACCTCCCATGGACGTGGCAGTTACATACTTACGGCCTGGCGTGTCTCTTCCTTGTACTAGCATGCGTGGCGTTCTTCACCATACTCAGTCTCCGAGCCCAGCTCTCAGCAAGACCAAACCTCTCCACGCTTAATGGCTTTCTCTGTCTCCTGGGGGCCTCACGAGCTCTGGGGCTCTTTATTGATCCGTACGGCTCAAAAGAGGTATGAGTAAATAGCACATCACCGGTAACTAGAGAGCAAAGTAATGAGATGACAGTAATTTTATACTATTTGATTGTTATATTATCGTGGCCCTAAGAACATGCTTGTTTTGTTTTGTTTTTTTGTTAACTTAATATCAATCGATTTTGTATTTCGCGTGGATTAGTAACTGCTTATAAATCATCAATTTGATATAAGATTACTCGTGCATGAATCATTACAGTAGACAGTAGTTTATTTTTTTTTTGGTTACGAATTTAATTTCATACACCTGCCAAATAAACGTACTGAATATTTTGAATTTGTAGCAACGAAAAATTGTTCTCGGTGCGTGAAGTTTTCCCTTTTTTAAAACAATATGAATTAAACCTACAAAGATAAAATGCGGAAGTTCAAAATCACGACTTGTGTTAACATTTTGCTTCCCTTTGAGGTTATACTAGTTTCATCCTTTAGAATAAGAACATCGGTAATCCCAGATGAGCGAGTCTTCGATAATAAAGGCCTGCGAATTTAAACTTCATAAAAGTTGTTTTGGTTTTGATAACGGATTTTCCATTATTCAGCTACGCAGAGTTCGTAAATAATATTCAGTTTTTTGTATCAAGTAAGGATTTTTTTTACAAACCGGGAAGAAAAACAAAAACGCTTACTTAGAACAAATTATTATTTCGTTTACCACAAATGAACATTTTTTATTGTTATGTTTGTTAATAAAAACACAAACAAACTGAAGAAAAGGGAAGAACATTGATGTTAAACGAATATGCATCCTCATTCATCCTGATTATTTTTGTGAAATCTACGTCTTTTAGTCTCAAAACTACGTGTTGTAGTCTTTATTTTATGGATTGTGTTATGACTTTTTGGAAAAATCTGCACGTGTTGGAGAAAAATAGGTATCATTTTCGGATTCAGCGTACAGGAACTACTGTAGGACATGTAAAAAGTTCAAGACAATAAAACCATTGCAGGCCTGTGTAATTAGGAATTCCCAGAAGTTTCCTAGGCCTAGTTTTATAAAGCTATTTTTTTGGCACTTGTTAAAATTCTTTCAAGCCTATAGTTACTCATTCTGTGGCTATTACGTAATTTTGTCAGTTTCTCATTACCAGTGACGTAACCAAGGGTGGGCCTAGGCAGGCCATGACCAGCTCGCTCAACATCTAGGCCAACCCAATCAGATTCTACTTGATTATTCTCTCGTTCGAATACGTCATACGTAATTCCTTCTGCCTGTCCGTCGTAACTCTAGGCCCACATTAAATTCCCGCACTTTGCTACACTAATGACCTTCTTTTTACTCGATGACCAAATTAAAAACCTTTAGATCAAATTTAAATAGGACCTTGTTCACACCGGTTCCCGTAAAATTAAAGTTTCTTAAAACTTCGCTAAAAGGCCTAAGATTGTCATTTCTCAACCTAATTACATAACTCGAATCATTAATATTTCAATACACCTGGCATAAGATTCTGAGGCTAGAAATTAAACCCTGTATAAAATTCACCTGAAAATGTGTTTCTTTTTATTTGTTTTTTTTTCTACATCATCCAAGTATCAGAAATCCTCTTTTATCTTTTTATCTAGATAATGCCTGTGGTGATGATTCCTATTTTGTGGGACCTAGCCTTTCCCTGCTTGCTCTCGGCTTTTTCCTTATTACAATTAGCCTTCCAGCAGATGACCCAAGTGAAGCTAGCGCCCTCTAGGCTGAGTAACGAAACGTGCGTATCAGTTGTGATAACATCACATTTTTGTCTTGCCATTGCTTCTGATATTTTGTGGACTCTACAAAATTCCCTGATGGTAAGAGCCAGACTTCTCTAAGAATATTCTAGAACTCTCTTTATTATTAACATTTCAGAAAAGTGGTTGCTGTTGGTCACCCCTTTTAAGTATTACGAGGGGCTTAAAGAAATAGGGGTGATTTTCATTTTACTATTTTTACTAATACGTATACCCATGGTGGGCAAAGCACACACAGCCCATTGTGTAGCTTTGCGCTTAACAAAAACCAAAACAACCAAATTAATACGCATATTCTATTTAAAGACAACCAGCTGACGCACGCGTTCATCGCATGAGGAAGACATAGGGCCCTCAAGATTGACCCTCTACATCGTTCCTAGGGAGACCCCTAATGATATACCGTTTTTTTCAGAATATAAGATGCACCCTTATTTTGAAGACAAAGTTTTAGGGGGGGGGGGAAGCTACAGACGCATTTGATAGATTTTTATTGAACAAAAATTCAATTTGATACTTTAAAG